AGGATGTTTCCTTTTCCACACCACTCTCTGGCTGCCACTGGAAGTATCTGAACACAAGTCTTTTATCTAGGGCTCAGTAATCTCTCCATGAGTTTCACTAATGTAAATTAATATTCTTTTATGCATCAAAAAATGTGTATCTGCTATTATTTTCCACTTTTTTTCCCTCTTTCTCTTTTAGAGACTGGATAAGCTTAAACAGCTTTAGAAACATTAACTCCTTGGAATAATGTGAATGACAAATAATGTTATCTCTTGTGTAACTAGAAAAAACAAAAAGATTAAGCCATTGGCTAAGGGCACACAGATGATTCCTGGAGTAGAAAGAGGATCCCACTCTATCCAACCAGCCCCAAAGAAAGAAATCTGCCTAAGGCTCTTAGAGATCTGGACATTTTATGAAAAGGGTTTCTAGTGCCACATCATTATCTGGCTGCCATACATTTCCTTAAAATCTATTCTCAGTCTAGCCAGGCAGAATGGGTGGGATACTGGAAGAAAGACAAGGATTCAAATTCTGACTCTAGAGAATTCCTAACTCTAGTGACCTTGGGCATGTCACTGTGCCTTAGTTTCCTATTTGGTGAAAAGACAGGATTGTTCTGGCTGGCCTCTAAGGCACCTTCCCACCCTGTGGAAAGTCTTGGCTGCTACTGGGTAAATCTATTAGGATCCTCCTCTATTATCATATAGTCAAAAGTACTGCCGGAGTGGGGAAGTCCCAATGGCTATGCTCCACAGGGACCTAAAGGCATGTTAGATGAGATGGCACCAACGTCCATGGTGCCAGGGTTGATTAAAAAAAATTTTTAGGAATTTCTAATCCAAAAGGCAGGCACTTAATAAATCAAGATTAAACTAAATATTCAATTTTATTACTAAAAAAAAAGAGTTTAAACATATTTGGGGAAATAAGTACTTCCAAAGATTAGCTATGTAAGCTGGCCAACTAAAATAGGAGTGAATATTCAAAGAAAGTCAGAGAAACAGTTTAAAAATAGACAGCACACACCTAGAATACAAGAGGTAGCATTCTAAAACCTCAGCGGTAGGGAACCTGATATATCAGCTGAAATGAGCTACGTGCTTTTAAAACGTCACAAGGACTAGCCTCATTTGCTTCACCTTATATTCATTTCAAAGAGATCATTTTCAAAAGAAATTTAAACTGGTCTTTTTTTTTTTTAATGAGCTGAGCCAAGTCACAAAGCATCAATTTGTGACGGAAGAGGCTGGATTTAGAGAGTAGCTATCTAATTCAAGATGAGGAAAGTGAGAGCTGGGGGGTGGGAGAAGGAAAGAGATAGCTACAGAGAGAAAGAGACAGATACAGAGAGGAGGGGAGGAGACAGAGAGAGAGAGAGAGAGAGAGAGAGAGACAGAGAGAGAGAAATGGAGGGAAGGAGGGAGGGAGGGAGGGAAGCAGAGGGAGAGAGAGAAACTCCGGTGCTATATGCAGAATTCCATACCCATTGGTTCCCAACTCTGAAAAGAACTAGAGGGAAATCACTTCAGACATCTTCTTTGAGGACTAACTTTTGGTTCTTATGATTTTAGTAAGTTTTATTGTATTTTACTTTTTTTCAATTAAGAAGCATTTATTTTCTCTCTCCCTCCAACTATACGAACTATAAGGAAATGAATGAACTATAAGGAAAATAAAACCTTTTTAAACAAACATATAAAGTCAGGGAAAATAATTCTCATATTGTCTATGTCTGAAAATGTATAGCTCATTCTGTATCTTGAGTCTATCACCTTTCTGTCAGGAGGTGGGTAGCACGTTTCATCATCTGTCCTCTGGAATTACTTTATTCATTACTTTCCTAATCAGAACTCTTAAATCTTTCAAAGTTATCTGTCTTTCCAGTATTATTGTTGTGCAAATTGTTCTCCTGGTTTTAATCACTTCTCCATGCATCAGTTCATACAAATCTTCCCAGGTTTTTCTGAAGTTATCCTTTTTATCATTTCTTATGGCATAATCATATTCCATTATATTCATATAACAGAACTTGTTCAGCCATTTCCCAATTGATGGGTCCTCCCTTAGTTTCCAGGCTTTCAACGCTATTAAAAAGGGGGCTGCTATAAATGATATGGATCCTTTTTTTCTTTGATCTTTTTTGGAGGTATAGTTCTTAGTAGTGATATCTCTAGTCAACAGGTATATACATAATTTAGTGACTTTTTGGACATAGTTTCAAAATGCTTCCCAGAAAGGCTAGCCCTATTTCTAGCTCTACCAACTGTTCATTAACATATCTTTTCCTCACAGTCCCTCCAACATCTGTCATTATCACCAATCTGATAAGTTTGAGTTAGAATGTTGGAGTTGCTTTAATCTGTGTATCTCTATCATTAACAGGAGCACTTTAAAAATACGGTTATGCTCCTAACTTCTCAACTGGTTTATTGTTCCCCTTTTATGCACATTGTTGCAGTCATTTTGTATGTTATTTTCCTACTTCTTACTTCACTTTGTATCAGTTCAAGTAAGCTTTCCCACGTTTCTGTGTTCTTTCTATTCAGCATCTCTTTTACTGCACAGTAATAATTCATTACATTCACATATCCCAATTTGTTCAGTTATTCCCCAATCAATGAGCATTTACTTTGTTTCTAGGTCTTTGTTACAAAAACGTAGTGCTTTAAATATTCTGGGTGTATATGGGTATCTCCTTGAAGCTTATGCCCAGCAGTGGAATCTCTGGTTCAAAGTGTATCGACAATTTATTCCCTCTTTTCCTATAATTCTAGAATGCTTTCCAGAACAGTTGGACCAAGTAATGCACAGTTCCACTAAGAATATATTGTTGTGGGATACATGCATACAATCCCACTCTTCAACTACTGTGTGTCATATCACTAAGCTGACACCTGGGTATTTTTATACCAAGTTCAGATAAGCAGTAATGGAGGTTTAGGTAAGAAATACAGATCTTGATGGTAGTCCTTGACATGTACAGAAAGGTAAAGATGGATTAAAACAGAAAGAGAACTGAGTCAAAGCAGCTGGGTTCAAATCCTACCTCTGATATTTACGGCTCATGTGACCTTGGGCAAGTCCCTTAAACTCCCTAGGTCTCCTTTCTGAGAGAGAGAGAGAGAGAGAGAGAGAGAGAGAGAGAGAGAGAGAGAGAGAGAGAGAGAGAGAGAGAGAGAGAGAGAGAGAGAGAGAGAGAGAGAGAGAGAGAGAGAGAGAGGGAATGAGTGAGTCTGGTTTCCTCAGTAAAATGAAGAGGCAACTTCTAATGTAATTTCTACCTTCAGAACTATAAGCCAATCAAACAGAACCAGCAGAACCTGGCAATTTATTAGCTTATAGGGAGGCAAAGCTAAGGAAAGGGAAAAGTCAACAGTGACTAAGATTTGTAACTTAATGATCTGGAAAAGTACAGGTCTTTGGAGAATACCTACAGTTAGGATAAGAGAGAACCACAAAAGAGGCTGAGAAGGATCAGCTGGAGAACCAGGAAATAGCTATGTCAAGGAAGCTAAGAGAATGGAGTGTCTCAAGGATGGGTTAGTCAGTAGTGCCAGAAGTTGATTCTTTTGTGAAGGCAAATTAGGTCATCTTTTGCCTCAATTCTTACATTCTTATCTAGCCTTTAACTACCGAATGGGTGTTGCCTCAGGCAAACTGAGACCTGGGAAAGACCTTAACTTAAAAAAGCCCAGGTCTCCCATTGCATCTGGGGCCATCACTAGCTGTCCTGATTTATGTCTTGCCACGGAAGCTCCATGCCTCTGAAGGAGATGACTTTGCACAGCCCCCCCCCACTTAAATCCAATTCACTTGCAAGTCAAGACATCCTCCTCCTGTTGTCATTGGGCCTCTTCCAGAAGGAAGGATGAACAACAAGAAGAAATCAATAGTGCCAGATGGAGTGGAAAAGTCAAGGAGGATGTGAACTGAGAATATAGTGAGTAGGGCCTGAAACTGTCAATTGGAGTGAACTGATGGCCTTGGAGAAAGCTCAACCAAAAAAAAAAACCCTCCCCCCCAAAAAAAATTCTACAAACATTTATTAAGTTCAAGGCACTGTGCTAGGTGCTGAAGATACTAACTATGAACTAGACTGTGACCTCAAAGATAATGTTCTATTGAGAAGGGAGGAATTAATAACATATATATAGCAAAGTAAATACAAAATAAGGAATCAAATTGTAATTCTGAGACCTACAAAGTGCTAACAAATAGCAATGAGGAAGGGAGAGGGAAGTTTATCAGAAAAGACCTCATTTAGACTTGATTCAAATCCAGCTTCAGACATTTACTATCTGTATGACCCTGGGCAAGTCACTTAACCCTGATACAAGAGGAGGAAGAGGAAGAGGAAGCAGAAGAAGCAGAAGCAAGAGGAGCAGGAGGAGGAGAGGAAGAAGAAGCAGAAGAAGGAGGAGATGGAGAAGGAGAAGGAGAAGGAGAAGAAGGAGAAGGAGGAGAAGGAGGAGAAGGAGAAGGAGAAGAAGAAGAAGAGGAGAGGAGAAGAAGAAGAAGAAGAAGAAGAAGAAGAAGAAGAAGAAGAAGAAGAAGAAGAAGAAGAAAAGAAGGAGGAGGAGGAGGACCATTACAACTGTGAGAATCATTCCAAGAGTAAGTTACAAGAGTGAGGACTGCAGCCAGATTTCAGGGGATATTAAGGACTGCATGGGTGGTGTCAAATGCAGGTAGTGAGTTTCATCAGTTCATGGAGTTTGCTAGTGATGAGATAACACAATAGCTTGAGCTGGCAGGAGGGTCACGGGAGAATTGTACTGTGTTTTGATTTGTTTTGTTTTCTTTAGGGTAAATAACACCTGGGTAAGTTTCAAGGCCCTGGAAAAGAAGCCCTTCGAAACAGAGAGACTGAAGATAAGAGAGAGGAGAAGGAGGCACCTTGTCCACAGAGAATGAACGAAATGAAATCACCAGGAAGCGGAACAGCTCCTATCTGTACAGTTTTCATTGTTTACAGGCCATCTGGGGGCCAGATTAGCTCATTTCAGAGGCTCACCTCCATAAGGTTGGCCGCTGAACAACAAAGTGGTAATGTCGTAGCAACATAAAGTGTGGAGAGAGTTACTATCTGCAACATAGGAGGGAATGCACATGCCTGTGAGATCTGGACAAGGAACATAATAAGGTTAAGAGTTTTTATTTGATTTGCCTAAGGTAACCCAGCAAACAAGAGTAGACCCCCTTTAAACCCATTTTTTCCCCACTTATTACCCCAATACAAGGACAGTCAAATTAGACAGGATGGAAAGATGAGAAACATTTATTTCACTGCAGCCTGCATGTGTGACTATCTTACCCTATGGGATATGCAAATATACAAACCCTGATCTTTCACTAAGATGGCATCCAGATAACCAAAATGGCCTTTTCAGTCTCATTTCCATTAAGATGGCCAGGACACAAGGCTGGGTCCAGTTGTCTTTCTATAATAGTGGAAATACCTCCTTGGAAGCCCACTTCAGACAAAGCTAGTGACTAGCCCTTGAACAGCCTTGGTCCATATATTTAATTTCTCTGAACTCAAAGAGCCTTCTTCATAATGAACACTGCTAGTGACAATAAAAATGCAGTTCATTAGCCTAACTTACTTCATTGCATACTTCAAGTACCAAGAGCCCAGAAGCCCTAGTCCATTCACTGTGTGGTCTTTGGCAAACGATGAAGATTTTTTTTCAAATATGAGTCAAGACTTCTAATCTACTAAATCTAACTGTTAAAGCTCAATGCTTTGTTTGCTAGGTTTGTTTTCTGTTTGTTTTTATTTTTGTTTCATGCACACGAGGCATCAGAATTCCCAGTAGGCGGGATGGGAATGCTCAGGGCATGGGACATACTTCACACTCTTATCTTGCATTTTCAGTTTCTTGTAAGAGCTATAAGACTGTACTACTCAAAAGGATCCTTTAGAGGAGAGTTCTCAAGATGTGGTCCAAATACCTTTGGGGGTCCCTGAGATCTTTTCAAGAGGTTCCCAATAATTTTTTTCAGTCTTGTCTGACTTTTCATGATTCCATTTAGGATTTTCTTGGCAAAGATACTGGAGTGGTTTGCCATTTCCTTCTCCAGCTCCATTTGACAGATGAAGAAACTAAGGCAAACAGGATTACATTACTTGTCCAGAGTCACACAGTAGTAAGTGTCTGAGGCTGGATTTTGAGTTCATGAAGATGAGTCTTCCTGACTTCAGGCCCAGCACTTTATCCGCTTCACCACCTAGCTGCCTCTTCATAATAATATTAAAACGTTATTTCCCTTTTAAAATGATTCTGCCCTCCCCCTTCTAACTATATATCTGAGGGAGGCCAGATTTTTTTCATATACTTCAACCAAGACAACATATCACAACAGACTGAATGTAGAAGCACATATGAGAATCCAACTGTCTTCTAATAAGCCAGTTATGAAAGAGATTTGCAAAAATAGGTACGGCAATGTCACTCTTCTCAGTAATTCTTTTTGTTGTTTTGGAAAATAGTTATTTTTCATAGAAATGTGTTATTTATGTTAACCTTCAATGGGTTCAATTTTTAAAATGAATTTCTAAAAATGTATCTGTTTTAATTTCTAATACGGAAAATTTCTGTATGTCCCACATAACAAAAGCCCTTCAGGGTCTTCTGTGATTTTTAAGAGAGTAAAGGAGTCCTAGGATCAAAAAGTCAAGAACTGCTTTAGAGTTAAGAAACTCAGGCCTGATGACTTGCCCAAGGTCACAGACAGTATGACTGTGACAGAGCCAGGTCCAGACCCCCCAGCTTCCTGACACTCAATGCTTTTTCCATTCACTACCCAAGGCAAGGACAGCCAAATTAGACAAGATGCAAAGATGGGATACATTTATTTCCCTGTGGCTTGCCTGTGTGACTATCTTACCTAGAGGAGATGCAGATATATAGCTCCTGATCCTTCACTAAGCGGGCCTCCAAAAAATGGAAATGGCCTTCTTAGTCTCACTACCATTAACCCATGGTTGTGCAGACATAGAGCAAGGGCACTAAGAAAGTACAGAATCAAAGATCACTTGTTTCAGTTACGACTGACTCTTCGTGACTCCATTTGGGGTTTTCTTGACAGAACATGCTAGAGTGGTTTGACATTTCCTTCTCCAGCTCATTTTACAGATAAGGAAACTGAGGCAAACAAGGTTAAATGACTGGCCCAGGGTCACACAGCTGGTAAGTATCTGAGGCTCTATTTGAACTCAGGTCTTCTTGGCTCCAAGCCCAAGGCTTTATCCATTGCACCACCTAGATGCAGAGAACATGGGCTTAGGGATCAAAGGACCTGGGTTCAAATTTCACCCCTTATTTGGAGGCTCTATCATATTAGGCAAGCTATTTAATTCCCTTGGGTCTCATTTTCCCAACTGTAAAATGGAGAGGCTGGACTCAATGGTTTCTGAAGTCTCCTCATACTCTTCTGCTACAATCCTAACAACTGCTACAAATGACCTTGGGTTCCCTTGATTATTCTTTTCTCACCAGTTAAGCAAACAACCTATGAACGCTTTGGATACCCCGCCCTCTCTCTCCATGCCCCTCTATATCCTAATCTATATCCTAACACAGACTACTGAAATAAAAGCATTCTGCAGAACCTAGCATTCTCTGATCACATCCCTGAGTTGGTACGTACACCTGGAAGACAGCATTTCCTCTGGGATACCAGGGTTATATAAGGATTTATTTTCATCTTCTCCCTAAATAATATTTTTGGGTCACGGCAGTCGAACGTACAATAGTCCTACCAAGAATAGCATCACACACATAGAGGTGGAAAGGACCTTGGAGAGTATTTAGTCTAATGACCTCATTTTACAGATTAGGAAACTGAGGCCCAGAGAAGGTAAGAGACTTCCCTCAAAGTCACACAGGGAATAATCAACAGAACCAGGATTTAATTAGAGTCTCAGGATTCCAAGACCAATTCTTTTTATGGTACAATATCAACCTTGGAATCTTCTTTCCCTAACGGAAATATTAAAATAGAAAAAAAAAAAGAAATAAGATGGAAATATTAAAAAATTATCTAATTCAAGCAGTAATAAACTAAAGAATATTGAATTTTAATCATGAAGGTCTAGGTTTAAATCCTGGCTCTGGCCCAGGAACAGATTACAAAGCGCACTGACCTTCAAATGAGAAAGCCTAGGTTGGAAGCCTGGCCCTGACCCTTAAATGCCAAGGCACAGCAAGGCCATTTTGCGCAACCCTCTTGTTTTTACAACTGAGCAAACCTGAGACCCAGAGAAATCCAGTGACTTGTCCAAGGTTCCATAGGTAGTAAGTAGCAAAGCTGAGTTCCCACCCTAGCATTCTGTCTATTCCACAATGTTGGCCTCTCTCTCAGTTCAAAAGAAAATTACTAACTGTCTACCCTGTTGAAGAAACTATGCTAGGCACTGAGGAGATGAAGACAGATATGATACAATCTCCAATTCTTATTCTGAGAAAAGAACAATAGATTTGGTGCCAGAAGCCATGAGTTAATCACTACTGGAGATCTATGTGACTTCGAAAAGGTATTTAATACTCATGAACCTTGCGGTATTAATCTCTGATTTGGGGATATCCTTACTTGTTGTAAGGACAAAGAGGCCAGTGTAAGCCATAATCATTATGAGTGAGCATGGCATCATCCTAGATATTATGGAAGATACAAGAGAAATTAAAGGGAATCTACATAAATTACAAGCAGCTAGGCGGCAAAATGGATAGAGTATGTGGAGTCAGGAAGACTCCTTTTCATGAGTTCAAATCTGGCCTCAGACACGCACTAACTGTGTGACCCTGGGTAAAGTCACTTCATCCTGTTTGCCTTGGTTTCCTCATCTGTGAAATGAGCTACAGAAGTGAAAGTCAAAACACTCCAGACACAACTGCAATGAGTAAACAGCAATACCATATGAAGTGACAACAACAATAATAACCCACATTTCTATAGTACTTCCAGATTTGCAAAGCACTTTCCACACAACAACCCTATGAGGTAAGTAAGTAGTCCAATTTAGTTATACATTTTTTAAAATTTAATATTTTATTTTTCCCAAACATTAAAAAAAATCTTTTTGAGTTCCCAATCTCCCTCTCTCCTTCCCTCCCCTCCTCATTGAGAAGGCAAGTGATTTGATATAGGTTATACATGTGCAGTCATGCAAAACACATTTCCATATTAGTCATGTTGTAAAAGAAAACACAGGCAAAAGAAAACCCAAGAAAAATAAAGTAAAGAAATAATAAGTATGCTGCAATCTGCATTCAAACTATCAGTTCTTTCTCTGGAGATAGCATTTTCCATCATATGTCCTTCAGAATTGTCTTGGGTCATTACACAAGCATTTATTAAGCATATGCAAGGCACTGTCTTAGGTGCTGGTGTTCCAAAATAAAAGTAAAATAATGCCTGTCCTCAGACAGCTTATACTCTACTGGGAGGATATTAGATATACAAAGAAGTGTAAATACAAGAATATTCAAAGACGGAGAGAGCTGAAACAACTAATGGGGAGGAGAGGAGCAGGTTAGAAAAAGCTTTAACAGGAGGCATCCCCAGAGTCTGAAGGAGGTTGGAAATTCTCAGAGGCCAAGGAGGGAGGGCATTCCCGGCACAGGAGTCTATGAAAAAGCATAGAGGAGAAATGTTGTGTTCGGGGAAGACCTAGTAGGTAGGTCAGTTTGACTGCATTGTGGTGTGAATTAAGGGAAATAATAAGAAATTAATCTGGAAAAGTTAACACAAGTATTATTATCCCTCTTTTACAGATGAGGAAACTGAGGCACAGAAACAATTGAAGCCACTTGCCTAGCTTCAGATAGCTAGTGTAGAGAGCTAGAATTTAAATCCAGCTAGAATTTAAGTTTAAAACAGGTCCTTGTTTTAAAACTACATCTTCCCATTTCACCCCAGCTGAAAGTATAGGGTCCTTTGAAAGGTCCAATCCCCCTACAGAGTGAAACAGGAGCTCTGACTTGCTCTATTTTTCCACCTGGGTCACTCTGTAGGTAGTCCAGGTCCCTTCCCCAACCTTCCCACAGTTTCACCACACTGACCCTGAACTTAGTATGAATGTCTAAATCAGCAAGTCAGCCAACAGGCATGACTGGCTTACTTGGCATCTACCAGCCTCAGTTCCCCCAGAAGCTGAATTACAGGCCTGACCAGCATTTTCCATGACACCCACATTGTCATCTATCTGGAGATTTCATTCATAGGCAGCATATGACTGAGATGGGCCAGGAGCACCATATGGGCTCATGCATGGGCTCTTGGGTTCCTGGTGGAAATGGAGTTTAAGCTTAGGGGTAAAAGGGATAATCACTGAGTCTGCAACTCTAGAATTTTGAGTTCTACGAGTCCATGGAAGGATCCAGACAAGAAGATATTCCAGGCTAGGACAATACCATTTTAGAACTCAGATCAAGGGCAGCATACCTGAACAATAATGAGGACACTCGCCTGGAGTGGAGGGTTTGGGACGGCGAAGGGTAGGAAATGAGAGTTAGGATGGGATCAGATTGTCCAGAGCACTGAATGTGAGGCTCAATTTGGATCTTTGTTCTCTAGACAGTGGGGAACCAGTCCAGTTTCCGAAACTGGCTAACTCCATGTTGAAAGTGTTGTTTTAAGAAGATTTGAGATAATAGAGTCTAGCAGCAGGAATGGAAGCTAGCAAGAGATTTCAGTAGCCCAGAATTAAGGGGCTAGATGGGGGTTTTAGTGTCTCACTCTCTGTGACCCCATCTACCATAACACACCAATGATGTCCACGGGGTTTTCTTGGCAAGGACCGTGGAGTGATTTGCCATTTCCTTCTCCCACAGATTAAGGCAAACATAGGTGAAGTGATTTGCCCAAGTGCACACAGCTAGTAACTGAGGCTAGATTTGAACTCGGGTGTTCCTGACTCCATGCCCAGCACTCTAACCACTCAGTCACTTAGCTGTCTCTAGATTTAGAATTTAGAGGTCATCTAATTCCCCTTTCTCCATTTTACCAAAGGAAAAAAAAATAAGGCCCAAAATGGGGAAGTGATTTGATATATTCCCAGGGGAGGGTGTGACCATGAACAGAGGGTCACTAGTTTTACAAATAAAAGCAGGCTGTATTTCACATGATTATTTTTAGTCCAACTTTCTTTTACTTCTGTTGTCCCAACATCCCTTACAGTTTGGCTCAATTAAACTGGTAAAGCATCTTTTAGTGCTCAAATAAGAGAGAATCAACTTCTGGAAGCTCTTGAGACTTTGAACTGATTTGACAACTGGTAGAAAAAATCCAGATGTAGACATACACAAATAACCATCATCACTACTAAACAATCATCTCTCAAGCGCCTACTACTGATTCAGAGTTCAGAGTACTGGGCATCAATTCGAGTTTTCTCCCTTACATTCTCATAGGAGGCTGACCACGAAAAGAAAAAAGGAAAACCATCGGAAAGCTAAAGGAAACCATTAGCTGGTTGGCAGCATCATGGTTCATAATAATTTAAGCAGGACTGGTAATTACGGTTAGGTTTAAACACAGATGTTTCATATTAACAGGATGCTCACACCCTGCTATTTGGGAGTGGTATTCTGACAGATAATTCGCAAGCAGTGTTTCTGAGCCTATCCTCCCCAGAACTGGGTTGCCACGAGGCAGGCTTTTCCTTAAAAATTTGTTTTGAGCCCCCCATTTTATGTATGAGTAAACTGAGAGTAAGGGGGGAGGGGACTTCCCCAAGATCACAAAATTACTAAGTAGCCAAGGTAGCACTTGAACTCTAGAAGTCTTCTGACTTCTAGTTCAGTCTTCTTTTCACCAGACCACACATCTCCTTAGAGAACTACATCCCTGAGCGGCTTTTAAACAGGGAGCGGTTAGAAAATCTCACCAAACATGGCAAATGCTAACACTCTGAAACAAAGGGAAGAATCACCTATACCTTTGTTCCAGCCCAAAGCCATATGGAATCGTTTGTCCTCTGCTGTAATATTGGCATACCACCAATTACCACCCAGGTGATTGGTTTACCACCAACCACAGCCACAGTCACTGGGAGTATGGTCAGCACTCAGAGAGGTTAATTACAACTTCCAGGCTGCTAAATCTACATTAGTCCTCTGGGGTCCTAAATAGTTCCTAAATGACTTAAAACTCTCAAAAGAATTTAAAGTAATGGTTCATTTCAGTCTGGATGACACTTCTCAGGTTACAGAGTTCACCAAGGAATAAACCACCACATTCTCCATTAACAGGTTAAATGCTATTGCTTTTAGGTAAAATACACAAAGCAGGAGGATGTGCTATGTCAGTTATATAGTCAACCTTGGAACTCCAGGATTCCCACAATCTTGGATATATAACAGCACAGATGTTGCTGCAGCATTTACCAACCTGAAAATAATCAAAGGAAAAAGGGAGAGAAGGGAGGGAAGGAAGGAAGGAAAGATTGATGAAAGGAAGGGAGGAAAGAAGGAAGAAAAAAAGGAGGGAAGGAAAGGAGGGAGAGGGATGGAGGAAGGGAGGGAAAGAGGAAGGAGGGAATTGGAAGGGAGGGAGGGAGGAAAGAAGGAAGAAAAAAGGAGGGAAAGGGATAGAGGAAGAGAGGGAAAGAGGAAGGAAAGAAGGAAGGAAGGAAAGAAGGAAGGAAGGAAAGAAGGAAGGAAGGAAAGGAGAGAGGAAGGAAAGGAAAAGAAGGAAGGAAGGGCCAGGCACAGTTTGGGACCAACTCAGCCCTAGTGCAGATAACCCAAGTGTTAACTGCAGCTATGAAATGTTTTTAATAACGGTTTCAAGCAACATGATTCAGCACAAATTCTATACCAATCAAACACTGGTCCAATGGGGATTAAGAACTGTATAACCAATGCATAAGAACTGTATAACTAATCATGGGTATTAATTAACCCTTTCCCAATCATGACAGAGGGAAGGGTCATTATCTAACTGGGATAATTCCAAGTAGCAACATCAACGTCTTCTGAACCACTACAAAGTTCATTCCAAAAAAGTCTATTATGAAAAATAAACAGGCTTTTTCCCAGAGAAGTGATACTTGGAATTCTCAGGAAATGACTGCCTTGAAAGCATTTGCAGGGGGTGGGAGGGAGAGGGTAGGTGGAGATAGAGACAGCAATTGACATAAGGTTTAAGTCATCCAAAGAAAGTTCAAATCAGGATGATTTGGGTTTATTATTCACTAAGCATTTATATATCAAGCACTTACTATTACACTGTGCCAGGTGACAACAGGTTGGGGGGTGGGAATGAGTGGGAAAGAATGGCATCTGAACCAAGGAATGGGGTATGAAAGATGTTCAATTAAGTATTTGTGAAATGAATGAATGAGTTTACCAGGGGGAAATGACTAGGCCACGAATAGGACTAGAGCATGTGTGTTTGGCGAGGGGGGAAGAGAGGGAAGAAATATTTCTTTGTTTCAGTGATTAAATACGAAGCTAAACCAACCGGAAAACATAACCATCTGCTTGGGAGAACACCTTAAAAAATGAAAACATATGCAATAATGCTAATCACATTTCAAAGACAAATATTTTCTCAAAACCACTTTGGGTATCAAGTTTTATAAGAATTTTGCACTTTAAAGGTGTGAAAAAATTTTCTAAAATTTCAGATTCAAAAACTATATTCCTCCCTGCATTTGCTTAAGGAAGGAAATGTGGAAGATGATTCACTGCTCTGTTTTACACCTCAAAAGTAATACTTTAGGGGTAGCTAGGTCGCTTAACGGATAGAGCACCAGCCCTGGAAACAGGAGGACCTCAGTTCAAATGTGCCCTCAGACACACAACATTCACTAGCTGTGTAACTCTAGACAAGTCACTTAACCCCAACTGCCTCACCAAAAAAAAAAAAAAAAAGTAATATTTTAAAATAATTCTACTGTATTCATGACATGGGGATACATACAGGATGGGGAGAAAGGCTAGATCTGTGATTTCACTTAGGGTGCTTCATAGAGAGAGTTAGACAGAGTGCAGTGGATAGAGTCAGGAAGGCCTGAGTTCAAATTTGACCTCAGACCCTAACTAGCTGTATGACTCTGGACAAGTCACTTAACTTCAGTTTACCTCAGTTTCCTTAACTGTAAAATGAGGAATATAATAGTACCTACCTCTCAGGGTTTTATTGTTGTGAAGATCAACTAAGATATCTGTAAAAAGTGTTTAGTGTCACGGTACCCAACACATGGTTGATTGTTATCCTTCATTCTCGGAGGACCAAAATGACATTGCTATGTTGAGGTCAAGGTACAGTGTGTCCAACTGAGGCTGATGAGACCACTATAATCTTGAAAGACTCTATATCACAGGTAGGGTACAAATACACCATACAAACATTTGGCGTGGAGATGTCCTAACACACAGTAGGTGCTTAATAAATGCTTATTCCCATCTATCATTATAGGACAAAGCCTTCTTGGAAACTCAGAGTTGCCTAGAACCCTAGCACTGAGAGTTTATGTGACTCAACCAGGGTCACACAGCCAGAGTCAAGGCCAGCACCCAGTTTTCCTGACTCTGAAAACATCTCTCTATTCATTATATCATACGACCCACACACTGGTAAATAAAGAAAGTGTAGGAAAAGGCACTAGCTAAATAAATGAATGAATAAATGGATAAATAAATAAAAATTAACGAAGGAAGGAATTTGCAAAGATGCTTTCCATTAAATTCTGGAAATTAGCAAAACTCTCAGTCACAAAGACTGTTACAACAAGAAATGACTAAATTCATCACTTTCTGGTAGCTGCTGTATAGAATACATACCAACAGTTCCATCCCGGGGACATAGTTAAGAGGTATCAAATAGTCATTCGGAAGATTTGCCACCTGCAGACAGAGACAAAAAAGGAAACACAGTAAGAAAAGTCATACTCTTCATTTAATCATCTCAGTTTGAAAGATGTCAAGAGAAACCTGTCATCAAAATACATATATATAAACATATATATGTTACTACTGATTTGTGATATTTTCTTCAAAATGGGATAGAATATTCAAGTAACCAAGCAATAACCATTTGAATCCCTGAAGTAGTGGTCTCATTATTTGAATTCCTACAGCAGGCTTCAATTGGGCTGGAACCAATGGCTATATTTTACATAATAAAAACTTCAAATAGTGCCAATTTGAATATACATGCCCGCTTCAGAGGATTCACTATTTGTACCAGGTGCCAGGCACTGGGGATACAAAGGGAAAAGGGAGAAGGCCCTGCCCTTAAGGAGTTTACCAAGAGAAACACTGTACACACACAATGAACACAAGGTATTGTGGAGGCAGGGAGGTACAAAGGAGTAGGAGATAAGGAAGTGGGGGGGAGGCGTTTGAGCTTCATGCAGAAAGTGGTCAATGAACTGAGCTTTGAAGGCAACTGGGGATTCTCTTTTCAGACAAAGGCAAAAAGAAAAAAAGCAACTTAATCACCCCAACAATTCAAGCTTCTGTCAATAGAAACTCAATACTGAGTAAGAGGGTGGTGGGAAAGAAATGAATTTAAATGCCATCATTCATTTGGAGTGCAGAAAACTTAAAAGTTTCAGTAAAAAGAAGGGTGGATATTCAGAAGAATCCTATTTTTCTGCCCTGTTTCTCCACTGGAACATTAAAGGAAAACTTTCTCAAACTGCTTCTGTTATCTTCAAAATCAAGACCTGTGATACTATTGGTATAGGTCAAGATGGAGAACCTGTGGCCTTGAAGTCACACGTGGTCCTCTAGGTCCTCAAGTATGGCCCTTTGACTGCATCCCTCCCAGAAAATTCCCAGCTGTCACATGAATTAAAATAAATTCTACTCCTTCCTGATTTCTATATTCACTTAGCCTAAGTCAGAAAAAAATCCTGACCTGAATGAACTGATGCAGGGAAGAAAGAAAACCCAGGAAAACAATATAATAATGATGGCTCACATGTCTGGAACATTGTAACACGGGTAAAGTGCTTTCGAAATATTCTCTTGGGGCAGCTAGGTGGCGCAGTGGATAGAGCACCGGCCCTGAAGTCAGGAGGACCTGAGTTCAAATACGGCCTCAGACCAAACACTTGACACTTACAGGAGCTGTGTGACCCTGGGCAAGTCACTTAACCCCAACTGCCCCCCCCAAAAAAATTCTCTTATTTGATCCTCACATCAACCTTAGTAGGGAGATGCTATTATTACCCACATTCTATAAATGAGGAAACTGAGGCAGGCAGAAGTTAAATGACTTGCCCAGAGTCATCTAGCTAGTAAGCTGTCTGAGACTGGATATAAATTCAGGTCTTCATGACTTCAAGTCCAATATTCTATCCATTCCACCATCCAGCTGCCATCAAATTGTACAATGACAACAATAACTAATGCAAAGACAAATACTGAAAGGCAAGTGAACTCTGATTAGATACAATGACCAATCTGGGCTACTGAGAACACAGCATGTTCCTCCTCCACTCGGTAAACAGGTGCGGTGGCTATGGATGTGGAACACTGCATAGGCTGCTCCACACGTCCACCATGTTGGTTAATTTTGCTTAACTTTTTCCCCCCTTAAGTAAAAAGGGGACTTCAGTTGTGACAGATGGCCTATCAGGGACTAAATGGGATGTAAATACCAAAAGTTTTTTTTAAAAAAGAAGGAAGAAAAGGAGGGATGGGAAAGAGAAAGAAGGAAGTAAAGAAGAGAGGAGAGGAGAAGAGAAGAGAGGAGAAGAGAAGAGAGGAGAGAAGAGGGGAGGAAGGGGAGGGGAGGAGAAAGAGAGACAGACAGACAGACACTGAGTAGGTGAGATCACAGATTGGGAACTGCAGAGGATCCATGGGGCCATCCAGTAAAATTCCATCATTTTATAACTCAGGCCCAGAGAGGGTAAGGGACTTTTCTAAAGTGGCACAGGTAGTAGGTAGCAGAGATAGTATTTGAAACCATGCTGTCTGACTCCCAATCCTGCAGTCTTTCCCTGGCACCATGGCATTGCTGCTTTGTTTTCTAAAACTCTGATTTTTTTTTAAACAAGCTTTTGTTGCTTGCCAACTCCATACCCTTTCTGACAAAGTTATTGCAAGAGCTTTGGGCATTAAAACCTGCCAAAGGAAGGGGAGTAGGGGAGGGAGGGTTGAGGAGGAAAGAGAGAATAAAAATGAGATGAAGTGTCCGTTCAAGCTGAGAACACTGAAAACTTCGGCAGTTTCATGTTAGCCCATTTGATCTGATGCCAGTTTAGTAAAACAAGTGGCTTTGCCCTATTAGGCCCTGGATTAGTCCATTGGCTTTGCCATCTTTTATTTCCTTCCTTCCTTTCTTTTCTCTTTCTCCCTTTCCACTCTCTCCTTCTCTATCTCTCCCTTTCTTTCTGTCTGTCTGTCTCTTTTTCTGTTTGCTTGTCATGATAACCCTCCCAAATCATCTTAATCTCTACCAGTCTTGTGTTAGGACATTAAAACCAGAGCTGGTCCAAAACCAGGGGTATCAGAAGGAGGCCTGTGTGCCAAAGACTGCTCTTCTGTCACCATCCCCGTTCCACAGCTGACCTTTGACCACTCAATCTCTTAATATTGGCTTACATTTCTACTGTGCTCAAAGGCAGGTATGCAGAATGATGTAGAAAGCTGGCCTCAGACTCAGGAAAACTTGGGTTTGAATCCTACTTCTGACACGTAATGACTATGAAAAATGATTTAACTCTCCCTTAGCCCCTCTCCCCACCACTGTTGGATATAACTCCAAATCTTAAGGAACACACAAGGTGCTATGAACTGAATTGGCAGAAGTGTTTTTTTTTTTAATCCAGGCCTAGGAATTCACAGGTCTAGAACCCAGCCCCTTCAAAGTTTAGGAGTGTTCCTCATTACATCTAGATGAAGGAGGTTCCAGGTCTACAACCCATAATGTTTAGAAGGAGCATTTCTTATTCCATCTGGGTGAAGCAGGTTCCAGGTCCAGAACCCATCCCTTTCAACATTTAGAAGGAGTGTTCTTCATTCCATCTGGGTGAATGAAGTACCACAAGAATTATCAGAGCGGCAGTGAGCATGGCAGACTGGCCTAATATCTTAAATATTGGATTTGGATATCCCAGGGAACATCTGGGTGTGAATTCTGCTTCTGACATTTATCATCTGTGAGACTTCAGGCAAATAACTTTACCTGAGCCTCAATTTCCTCATATACAAGATGCACAAGACTCAGAGTAGTAGAGAAAGAACAAGCAAGATCTGGATTCAAGTCTTATCTCTGACACATACTAGCTTGTGTGACTCTGGGAAAGACACTCAACTTCTCAGTGTTCTAGGCTAGTGGTTCTGAAAGTGTGGTCCAGAGAACCCTCGGGAATTCTTTTGGGGGGGGGCATGAACTAATTATTTTCATAGTAATACTAAGATGCTTTAATTTCTAATAAAGTAAATATTGATTAAATATAACCCCCATAAACAAAAGTTTTGGGGGACCACAATAAAACTGAAAAGCATGGAAAGGGTTTTATTGGTCACTTGGTCCAACCTCCTCATTTACAGATAAGGAAACTGAGGCTCAGAGGGGAAAAAAAAACATAAAAGGTTTAAGTTTGAGTCTACTGAGATGATGAAGTGGTTTTAGATGTTTTTAGTTTTAACAAGATTAATTAGGAAATATAAGAAGATATCTTCCACCACCCCTTTGCAGAGGTAAAGGGTTGAGCAGGTGTGAAAGACTACATATGATGTCAGATTTTTTTTTAAATGAATTGTTTGATTTTGCTGAATGTTTCTCTTTATTTTTTGAATAGTATATGCGGGGGGGGGGATGAAGGAAACTTAGGTGATGTAAAAACAAAACATAACAGTAAATTTTTTAGAAAAAAAAATTATTTAACTTTACTGCCAAAGGTCACACATGTATTTAATTGCCAAAAACAGAATTTGAATGTGAGTTTTCTCAGACCTCAGATGAAGTATTCTTTCCAGACTATGCCCTTGTCTTCTTTGGCCTACTTCCACCCTTGACTTTATTTTAGGTGTTGGTGAAGTTACCTACCTGTATCTACATACAATCTTACACACCAGTTTCTTCTTTACCTCTGAGAACTCAATCCCCTAAAGAAAAAACAAACCCACCCTCCCCCAACAGTAACATTACAATGTCTCTGAATTGAAAGCAAGTTACTCTCACTGAATTCAACTGAACTATCATTTATTAAGCACCTGTGTGCTTAATACTACGTGCCAAGCACTGGGGATACGAAGACAGAAGTAAACAGAACCCTGCCCTCAAAAAGCTTACATTCTACTAGGGTGGCATCTCTCAGTATTTTTTGAATTGTGAAGCCTATGGAAGCCTATTGACTCCTCAGAATAATGACTTCAAATGCATGAAATAAAATACACGGGATTCTGAAGAAAACTGATTATACTGAAATAATTTTCCAATTTTTTTTTTAAAGTTCACAGACTCCAGATTAAGAACCTATGTACTAGGGGAATAAGAAATGTGAACAGGTAAGTTACAACAAGGGGCAACTAGGTAATGCAATGGATAGAGTGCCAGATTCAAAGTCAGGAAGACCTGAATTCAAATCTGGCCACAAGATACTTACTAAGCTGTGTGACCCTGTGTGACTATCAAAGTCATTAAACCCTGTTTGCCTCAGTTTCCTCCTCTGTAAAATGAACTGGAGAAGAGAATGGCAAACCACTCCAGTATTTGCCAAGAAAACCCCAAATGGAGTAATGAAGAGTCAGACACAACCAAAAACAACAAGAAGTTGATGATTTGAGGACAAAGAGAGTTAACAAACTGAGGCAAGGCGAGGAAGAAGGCTTTCATAGCCTTTGCAATTGAAAGAACCCTAAGATTTGCAGCCATAATACTTGGG